GCCTGAAAGGGCTTCTTTTAGCTTAACTGTATCATATTCTATTTGGAACTTAATATTTCTGTGCTTTAAAGGGCAGGTAGTGTCACTTTATAAACTCCCTCTAATCTATTCTTGGGTCTCAGTTGAAATGTCATTTCCCCAGAGAGGCTTTTTCCAGTCACTTAATGTGAAACACATGCTTTGTTGTTTTCTATTTTGGTGCTTCCTTCACAGCCCTTGTAACAATTTATTATTCTTTTTCCTATTCCAGTACTGGGATTTGAACTTAGGGCCTGGGCATTGTTTATTAGCTTTACTGTTCAACTCTGGCACTCTACCACATGAGCCACAGCTCTACTTCCTGCTACTTGGTGATTCATTGGCGATAAGAGTCAGCATGGACTTTCCTCCTCAGGCTGGCTTTGAACTGCAATCCTCAAATCTCAGTTTCCTGAGTAGCTAGGATTACAGGACTGAGCTACTGGTACCTATCCCTTTTCACAATTTTTTTTTGTCGGTCATGGAGCTTGAACTCTGGGCCTGGGCACTGTCCCTCAGCTCTTCAGCTCAAGGCTAGTGCTCTACCACTTGACACACGGTGCTACATCCAGCTTTTTCTGCTTATGTGGTGCTGAGGAATTGAACCCAGGGCCTCATGAATGCAAGGCAAGTACTCTACCACTGAGCTACCTTCCCAGCCTCCCTTTTTTAAAAGGTGTATTTGTGACCTTTCACTTATCTTTCTTAGATTATTAGTTGTCTATAGTCAGAATATTTTTTCTGACTTAAACATTGAACACTGTACAAATTAAGAATATTTTTATCTTTTAAAAATATTACTGTGCTCATCAAAGTGACTGGCACTTAGTGTGTATCTGTTGGAAAGGAATTAAACACTATTCCTTTTTTATAAAGGGGTACTGTCCTTGACTTTACAGACACTGTCCCTGACCTTTTTTTGCTCAAGACTGGCGCAGTTTTTGAGCTACAGTTCCACTTCTGGTTTTCTGATGGTTAAATAAAGATAAGTATCTCACAGACTGTCCTGCCTGGGCTGGCTTTCAACTATGATCCTTGGATTTCAGCCCCGTGAACAGCTAGGATTACAGGTATGAGCCACTTGTGCTTGGTGGAAGATGGTTTTTCATATCCAAGTGTGCTAATGGCTCTGTTCTCTTGTGGTGGCCTCTGAGCAGGCAGTTCTACTGAAGACACACCTAAATCAGAACCTTCCATCTCTATATCTATATCTTTCAAATGAATCTATGAGTTTCCAGAGTTTATAATCCCAGGCAGAAGCACGGGGGACCTGTTCTATGAGGAACTGGACTAATGGAAGTGGAGAGGGGAGAAAAGAGAGAAGATGAGGCTGAAGGGCACAGAAGTTATTGTAAGGCTTTTGCTTTGTTCTAAGTGCATGGAGAGATTGCCTCAAAATCTTGTTTTTGCTCCTGATGCTCTCATGTTATTTATTTTATTTTATACTTTTTGGAACTGCTGAAGTTTGAACACAGGGCCTCTTATATACTACGCAAGCTGCCTACCACTGAGCTACATTCCAAGACTTTTTTTTTGTGCTGGCTATTTTTGAGCACAGAACTCACTTCCTGCCCAAACATGTACCAGGACTGCAAGCCCCTGTTTTAGGCTCCTGTCTTAGCTGGGATGACAGGCATACACTACGATGTCAGCTTCTTCCTTTGAGATGGATTCTTGTAGATTCTTCTGCCAAGTAAGGCCTGGAACTATGATACTGCCCATCTCAGCCTCCCACATAGCTTGGGATAATAAGCACTGTGCTCAGCTATCAATTGAGAAGGTCTCTCATGAATTTCCCTGCTAGAGCTGGCCTTAAGCCATGATCCTCCATTCACAGCCTCCAGAGAGCCAGGATTATAAACATGAGCCACCATGTCCAGTTTATTCATATTACCTTTAAAATTAAGATTGAGTTCTGGTTGAAAGCAATATCTGTGAACCTGGGAGAGAATTTTCTAGAGTACAGTGTCAGTTTGTTTTCTGTTGCTAGAATAATATGCCAGAGGCTAAGAACATTAAAAAAAAAGAGCTTTATTTGGAGCATGATTCTGGTGATTGGAAAGTCCAAATAACATGGTTCTGGCATCCTGGTCATGGCATGGCAGAGAAACAGAAAGGACATGCAAATAGGGCCAAGTAACTACCCTAGAGACCAAGCTTCTAGTATCTGAACCTTTGGGAAACAAACTACATACACATGCTAGGAAGTGGGCAACAAGGAGAAATACACACACACACACACACACACACACACACACACACACACACACACACACACACAGCTGAACCCCCTCCCACCTGTGCCTGTATGCAACATCTATGTGTCACAGTGGTTTCTGAGATCTCTCTCTCTGTACACACACACACACACACACACACACACACACACACACACACACACCACACCCCTAGGCCTGAACTCAGAGCCTACATGTTATCTTGCTTTTTTTTGTTTTTGGCTCAAGGCTGGCACTCTATCACTTAAGCTACAGCTCCATTTCTGGTTTTTTAGTGATTATTGGAGATAAGACTATCATGGACTTTTCTGCTCAGGCTGGCTTTGAATCACAGTTCTCAGATCTTAGTCTCCTGAATAGCTAGGATTATAGGCTTGAGCCACTGGTGCCCTGCCCTAACATTAACTCTTTTTAAGATCTCTGAGTCTTGGGGATAGTCTTCTTTAGCACATGTAACACAGGTGTCTCTTCATAGGCTTTCTTTTAGGTGTTGTGCTTTTATTCTTCCCAAGCTAAATTCTGTTTTTACTGTAGTCAGTCACTACCAAGTGGGCCATGGTTTGTGTTTCTCTTCTTCTTAGTGATGTTGACAGGGTAGAGATGTTGAAAGGGTAGGTGGAGAGAGCTGGTCAGCTAGGAGTCTGGTCCCATTGACTATCTGCCTAGATCACTGTGGGTCCTGTGGAGCTACCCCTAGGGGCCCACTTGCTCTCTGCTGTGTGTGTGTGTGTGTGTGTGTGTGTGTGAGTGTGTGTCTGTATCCTGCATGAAATATTTCAGAGAATGTAAACCCTTTATTGTTTGTAGCCTTGCCCATCTCCCCTGTACCATGAGTTTGACCAGAATATAATGTCTGGTCCTCAGGTCCTCAGTCAGTGTGGCACACAGGAATCCTAGCAGAGCTGCATCAGGCTGTGGGGTGTGAGCTCATCATGAATGGCCCCTGTGATCTTCCTGGGATAACAAGAAGTCTATTTCAGTATCTTGTGATCATGGTTAAAGAGCAGACAAAGGGATGTCTGGGATAGCCTGTGAATCTATACGCTACTTGGGAGAAAATTACTGGCCTCTGGATAAGAACTGTGAAGAGCTCTGTGGTGTAGTATGGAGCCTGTAGTTGATTATGTGTACCTGAAAACTGCTAAGACAATGGACCTTAAATATTCTCACTCCAGAAAAAAACAACAACCAGAAACATAGGTCCCATGGTTTCCCTTATTTTCAATATCTAGTATATGTCTGAGTCAAGCAGAAAAGGTCAGATAAGGTGATGTTAGGGAAATGAACCCTAAGATATGTATTCAAATGTTTTTTTTTTCTTTCATGTGATTGTTTCTAACACATTTATAAGATTATTTCTTTGTTGCTTTGTATGTCCCTCCCCTCCCCTACAGTATAACCCCTGCTTTCACTGTATTTGAATCGGTATAATTTGTGGAGGGGAAGGGGAAAAACAAATCGTTTAAATAGGGATACAGGTGGACCCATTGCAACAATGAGATGTACAAGTCATTATGTCAAAAACGAACTTTACAACTTTGGTGGGGGGGAGGGGGGAAGCGGGGAGGATTGGGTGGGGGGGTTGGGAGGAGGATGGGAAGGGATGGGAAGGGGAAACAAAGGAGGAGGCTACAATGCTTGATAAGAAATGTACTCATGGGCTGGGATGTAGCTCAGTGGCAAAGCGCTTGCCTAGCAAGTGCAATGTCCTGGGTTTGATCCCCAGTACCAAAAAAGAAAAAGACAAAAAAGTACAGTTAAAAAAATGTACTCATTATCTTGCCTATGTAATTGTAACCCCTCTGTACAGTATTTTCACAATAAAAAAACAACAACCAGGTGAGATGGAAAATATAGTATTTGATCAGATAATTTCACAATGTTTACACAGTGCCAATAGAAAAATATTGTGTTGTATAGCATGAATGATTTTTTTTTTATCTTATTTACTTTTTTTTTTTTGTCAACTGTGGGGATTGAACACAGGGTCTGGGTGCTGTCCCTGAGCTCTTTTGCTCAAGGCTAGTGCTCTACCACTTTGAGTCACAGTGCCACTTCCAGTTTGCTGGTAGTTAATTGGAGATAAGAGTCTCACAGACTTTCTGGCCTGGCCTGGCTTTGGACTGTGATCCTCAGATCTCAGACTCCTGAGTAGCTAGGATTACAGGTGCGAGCCACCAGCACCCTTTGTGTGTGTGTGTGTGTGTGTGTGTGTGTGTGTGTGTTGGGGTCTCAGTCTGGCCTGAAACTCACGGTCTTGCTACCTTTGTTTCCTGCACGTTGGGGGCGACAGAGATATGTCACCACACGCAGATAATGTTTGCCAATTATACCTTTGGGAGATGTGTGTCTGTGTATGGGATCTGAGATCAGTGAGATGGATGATGAATGTGGGGCATGGAACACCATTTTTTTGTTATTTTATCCTTTCTGCTTTCCTTCCTGCTAAAGTTCCTCCCTTTCTTCCTTGTGCCCTTCCCCCAGCTCAAGCCCTCAGAGACTCCTGTTCCAGGACCCAGAGATATGCTTCACAGATCCAAGGTATCGTTTGGGAACCAGGCCTGAGAGTGAGTCAGGTGTGGCCCCCTCACGCCCCAGGGGTAGGGACCAGGCATGCAGCTGTTGAATGAGACAGTTGAACTCAGCTCTGACCACAGCAGGGCAGTTGGCAAATGCCCCTCTGGGAGAGATGGCTATGCATCATAGAGATCACAGAGGGGCAGGGCTTGGGGGCAGGGATCAAACATGGTCCACACAGCCTCATTTGCATTGGAAAAGCTGCTGTCTGCACAAAGAGTAGGGTCCTTCTCTCCAGGAAGCCATCACAAGTGAGGCTCAAGAAACCTTTGATCTTAAGGGAAGATGAAATCTGGGACGGGTCATATTTCTCATGGCCCAGGCCCTGCTTCCTGGCAGTGTGGGGTTGTTCTGGGTCTGTTGCTTCTGGCTCTGGCCCTGGGCACCCAGGGTCTGTTATTTCCAAGAGCAGCACCCCAGAATAGGGCCGTGGATCTTAGTGCCCGGGCAAGAAGCAGCTGGTCCAGACTTTGGAGCCTGTGGGGCAGGTAAAGGACTGGCTTGTGGGAAGATTTGGGTGGGGGGGTGGGTGGGACCCGGGCTAAAGGCAGGAACTAGTGACTGAAGGGAAAGGTAGTAATGATGGTGAGAGGTGAGAAGGAGCAATTTGAGAGGAAAAGTCTAGGAAACTGCTGGCTTACAGTACTTCTATTTTTTTTGTTCTTAGTATATATTTTTTATTTTAAAGATACTGTACAGAAGGGGTACAATTACATGAGCAAGGTAATGAACCTATTTCCTATCGAGCCTTGTTACACCTTCCTTTATTTTTCCTCTACCATCTCTTTCCTCCCCACCTCCCCAACTCTTCCCCCACCTCTGCAAAGTTGTAAAGTTCATTGTCAACATAGTGTCTTGTACATCTCATTGTTACAATGGGTCATCCTGTATCCTTATTCCAGTATTTTGTTATTTCCCTTCCCCTCCCCAAATTAGAAAAAAGAATATACAAGATGCAGGACACTGGAATCAAATACAGTGACAACAGGGGTTGTAACATGGGGGAAGAACATACAAAGAAACAAAAATCACATAGTACATTATAAATACAATAACAAGAACAGCAACAAAATAAAACCTCTTGTGTCCCTATCTTGGGATTCATTTCAGTGCTTCTGTTTTGATTATTATGGACATTTGCATTACTATTATTGTTATTAATATTAGTATTGGGATTGGGACTTAAACTCAGGGCCTTATGCTCTCTCTTTCTAAATCATGGCTGGTGCTCTACCATTTGAGCCATGTCTATCTTTTTGCTGGTTAATTGGAGTTGGAATTTTGTGGGCTTTTCTGCCCAGACTGGCTTCAGACTTAATGTTCTATATTTCAGCCTACTGAGTAGCTAGGATTGTAGATGTGAGCCACTATTTCCCACATGCATTACAACAACTACTACTACTATTGCTATTTTTTTTTGTCAGTCTCTACCACTTGGAGCTAAAGCTGCACTTCTGGTTTTCTGGTGGTTAATTGTAGCTCATGGACTTTCCTTCCCAGGCTGGCTGCCATCCTCAGGTCTGAGCCTCCTGAATAGCTAGGATTACAGGTGTGTGCCTGTTGTATTGAAATATTGTATACCTTGATTCACAAATTTTCTGGCTCCCCTTAAATTAGCTAAAAATCTAGCTTAAAGCCAGTGATGCACAAACCTCCTGTTAGTCCCTGGGTAGTACAGAAATGGAGGCCCTGGAAGAGAGCTTTCAGGCAGTGGATAGTCATTGCTGTCCAGACAAGCTGCTTTATGGATGGTGGGAGTGTAATTTCCTTTTCTCTGTATGTGGTGGAGAGTCCAAAGACAAAGCCCTGAAAATCTGCTACAGGTGCACAGGTGCTAATCATTATAGGGGTAGACTCTTCCTCTTACTGGTCACACAAGGCAGACCCTACTGCCATCTGGTTTACAGACTGGAATAATAATGCCAAGGCCACCTAGCCCATGGATCCAGCCCTCAAGGCCCAAGTTTCATGTTCTCCAGTTCTCCCCATATCCCTCATCTCCAAAGTAGAGTGGACAAGTCCCCACCTGGGGATTGTTGGGGTGACCATAATAAGGCCCCAGATTCTACTGTAGGGGCAGCTCCACCATGGAGGCTGAGTCAGCACCTCTGCTTGTTGGGTTGCTGGGCTAGGAGTTTCTACCAGAATGAGAGTGTCTAGGGAGGCCAATTCCCAAAGACACAAGACTTACACCAAATCAACACCTCAGGAAGAGAAGATAGGCCTAGCTGACGGTCACATTCAGTGTAAAATCTGTAAGAAATTTGTCCAGAAAGAGGTTCTGCAGGTCCAGAACTCTCAGGAAGGCTTGGTGGTTAGGGCTGTAGACAGTGGGCCCTGGGATCAAGATGTGGTAAGAGATGCTGCAGCCAAGAAGGTCAAATTTCACCTGTGTATTCTTGGGGAAAGAAGATATGACTTAACTTGAATAGGTGGGGAGGGACAAGAATCTAGAGCTAGGGAGACTCTAGGGGTGTGTTGGGGTGACTCAGGGGATAAGCTTGGGGAGGAGGGCAATAGGAGAGGGAGGAGCAAGGACCAGCCTTGACTTTTTTCTTTCTTTTTTCTGGTGGTTCTGGGTTGGAAATCAGGGCCTGTGCTTGCGAGGTAGGTGCTCTACCACTGACCCATGCTTCTAGCCTTTTCTGTACTGGTTATTTTTGAGATAAGTTCTCACTTCCTGTCCAGGCATGTACCTGGACTGAGATCTACCTATTTTAGGCTTTCTGTAGTGGCTAGAATGAAAGGTGCATGCTACCATAACCAGCAATGTGTTCAGAGCTGGGCACTAGTGCCTAATGCCTAGCTATCTGAGATGTTGAGATAGAGAAGATTGTACTTTAAAGCCACCTGGACACATCAAGTTTTGTGAGATCCCTTTTCAATGCAGAGCAGAGCTGCACACAGTGGCAGGTAGCTATTTTCCTACCTACAACCTGAGGCCTAATATATATAGGCAGACTGTGGCCCAGACCTATGCCTAAGGCAAAAAGTCTAAAAAATAACTAATGCAGGAAAGGGCTGGGAGAAGTATGTCTCCATAGTAGAGTGCCTGTCTTGCAAGCCTGAAGTCCTGAATTCAGATCCTGACATCTAAAAAAAAAAAAAAGAAGGGAGATGGAGTCTTGTGAGCTTTCCTGCTCAAGGCTAGCCTTGAAGTGTGATTCTCTCTCCATCAGCCTCCCAGGTGTCTATGATTATAAATGTGAGCCACTGGTGCCCAGGTTGGCTCTGGCTTTTTTGATGAACATTTAAGAAAAGGCTATAATTGTATCAGTGGGGTTTATATTTTAAGCAAAATTATTCTGGAAAGAAGGGTTAGGTTCCTCAAAGATGTACTTTACTGATTTGTTTATTAACATCTTACTGAGATTAGGCCTGGAGATGATGAGAGGGTGGGCCTGACTAGTTGTGGGAATAACCCTGTGGCTCATTGGAGAAACAATAGACAGAGAAGCCCAGTAGTGGTGGCTCACACCTGAGGATCATGGTTTGAAGCCGGCCTGGGCAGGAAAGTCTGTGAGACTCTTATCTCCAATTAACAACCAAAAAGCCAGAGTAGTGGTATGGATCAACTGGTAGAGAGCCAGACTTGAGTGAAAAAGCTAAGGGTTGGTGAATGCCCAGGCCCTGAGTTCAAGTCCTAGTACCAGAAAAAGAAAATGACAAAAGCTAGAGAACAAAAGAGAGATGGGATGTTTTCTCTGGTGCTCTGGCTTTTGCCCTGAGGTTGTCCTGAAGTGGGATTTGTTTATTAATTTAAAAATATTTTGGTTGGGCTTATTATTTTTATAGTTATTATTTTTATATTCATTTCTCCACATTTTTGACTATACTGGTGACTTTCAGAATTGGATTTTATGTTTTGGAGAAATTAGTGCCACCAATCTTTGAAGTCAGATTTGAAGGCCAGGTGGAAAAGGTAGGAACATCCAGAAATGTGAAACAATAAGAGGAAAACAAACTCTAGTACGTCCCTGGTATGTCACTACAGTGAAATAAAGATTTAAAAAAAATTCTAATATATCTTAATAAGCGTTTTTCTTTTTTTAATTTTTAATTTTAATTTTTTGTGAACATACTGTACAGAGGGGTTACAATTACATGGGCAAGATATGAGTACATTTTCTTAATAAGCATTTTTCTATTGCTGTTTTACTCCATATGAGCTCTACTTTTTGCTATTGTAAAGAAAAGTAGCATATACTATTCTTTTTTAGAAAACTGTATCACTGCAGTAAAATTATTAAATATAGATGATTTTCTATAGTCAGCTACCCTAGTCTTGGCATTTGCCTTTATGGTTTCTTTATGACTTTCTACTCTGTGTGTATGTGTGTGTGTGTGTGTGTGTGTGTGTGTGTGTGTGTGCTGGTACTGGGGCTTGAACCCAGAGTCTAGACACTATCCGTTAGCTTCTCTCAAAAGTGGCACTCGACCACTTGAGCCATATCTCCATTTCTGCTTTTTGCTGGTAAATTGGAGATAAGAGTCTCACAGACTTTACTGCTCAGGCTAGCTTTGATCCTTAGAACTCACCCTCTTGATTACCTAGGAGCCACTGGTGCCCAGCTGACTCTACTTTTGCTTTATCTGGAATATCATGTCAGTGGAATCATTACTATAAGATTTTTGTTCTTGTTCTTTAATGAACTAAAGCTTTTTATTTTGGCATAATTATAGATTCACCTTAAATTATAATAATACAGAGGCATCTCATGTACTCTTTAGTTTCTTAAAGTTACAGTAAAATATCACTACTAGGACATGGGCATGGCTACAGGAAAGGGACAGAACTTTGCTTTTTTTTGTTTGTTTGTTTGTTTTTTTTGGTCGGTCGTGGGGCCTGAACTCTGGGCCTGGGTGCTGTCCCTCAGCTCTTCAGCTTAAGGCTAGTGCTGTACCACTTGAGCCACAGCACCCACTTCCGGCTTTTTTTATGTGGTGCTGAGGAATCGAACCCAGGGCCTCATGCATGCAAGGCGAGCACTCTACCACTGAGCCACCTTCCCAGCCCGGGACAGAACCTTTCTGTCAGCACAGTCATCACTCATGTTGATCTTTGAGAGTGACACTCACTTCCATCTCTCTCCCAAACCATCCTTACTCCATGGCAACTAGTAGTTGGGCCTTCATTTCCATACTTACATCATTTTAAGGATATGCTACAATATTTTTTGGGGTGTATGGTGTGTTTGTAGAGTTCAGGATTGAACCTGGGGCCTTACATCTGCTCAGCCTGTGCTCACCACTGACCAGCATCCATATTCTATGCAATGCTTGATCTCTGGGGATTGGCTTTTAAATTTTTATTATTTTTATTTTTGTCAGCTGTGGGGCTTGAACACAGGGCCTGGGCTCTGTCCCTGAGCACTTTTGCTCAAGATTAGTGCTCTACCACTTTGAGCCACAGCTCCACAGCTGGTTTTAACGTGATTAACTGGAGATAAGAGTCTCATGGGGACTTTTCTGCCCAGGCTGGTTTTGAACTGATCCTCAGATCTCAGCCCCCTGAGTAGTTAGGATTACAGGTGTGAGCCACTGGCACCTGGCTTAGGATTTCATTTATGAGTTTTGTCATTCATTTGGCCATTCCTCAGCTGAGGAATACTTGAGTTGTTTCTAGTTTGGGGTAAAGATGAATAAAGCTTTTATAAACATTTTCATACAAACTTTTGTTTGAACTTCAGTTTTCATTCCCTTTGGATAAGGACTTAGGGGTAGAATTTACTTTATATATTCTTTTTTCTCATTAAAAATTACCTTTAGCCATGCGTGTCCATGGCTCACTCCTGTAATCCTAGCTACTCAGGAGGCTGAGATCTGAGGATCACGGTTCAAAGCAAGCCCGGGCAAGAATGTCCATGAGACTCTTATCTCCAATAAACTACCAGCAAACCAGAGTGGCACTGTGGATCAAGTGGTAGAGTGCTAGCCTTGAGCTGAAGAGCTAAGGGACAGCACCCAGGTCCAGAGTTCAAGCCCCATGACAGCCCCCCACCAAAAAAAAATCTTTAAATAGTTGCACAAAGGGTTTTCAACCCAACAAATCAGTTTATAAATCCAATGCATCTTGATCAACATCAATGGTTATTTAGATGCAGACTGCAATGACAGATGTGGTTCCAATGTGGGAGGGGCAATGACTAAAGTCTACAATGACTCCATGTTTTCAGCTTGAAAGTGAGCAAGAACACTCATGGCCATTGTTGTGATGAAGACAGAGCTGAGTTGGAGGGAAGGCATCTGGATATGATAAATTTAAATTTCCTATTGGACATCTGGCTGTTGATGGTCAAGAGGCAATTTCGGTGGAGCTGAGGAGGTGCTTTTCAGTGGTGATAGATTGGTGCTTATTATACAGTCAAGTTATGGAAATGAATGTTGTGGGAAGATGATAAGGAAGGAGGATCTAGAGATGGTCTGGGGACCATCAGCCAGGCATGGGCCAAGGAGTAAAAGAGGAGTGTGAGTGCTCTGAGATACCTTGGAGAAGAGAACCACTTGTAAAAAGGGTGAACTTAACATTACATCAAGTACAGAAACAGCAAGTGCAACAAGAACTGAGGAAGGAGCTTGTACTGACCATGGTGAGGGGTTTGTGCACCTTGATCTGAGAGGAGTTAGAGGGATATAAAGATAAGAACCAAAGGGACTCTGAACTGTCCTAACCATGAGAAAGAATGCCTTGTGAAAGCAAGATGGACAGGTGGATGAAAGGGCAGATGAATAGATGAATGGCAAATGGACAGAGGATGGGCAAATGGATACAGATGGGTAGACAGATGAATGAATGATGGGTAGGTGGATGGGTGAATAGCTGGATGAAGAAATGGTACTTATAAGGATGGAGGGACAAACAGATGGAGAGACAGATGAATGGTGGATAGATGGAGTTATGCATAGTGATCTGAAAGATCAGAGAAGGTCTCATGAGTATCATGGGACTGAGCTGCACCTCCTTGAACAGAAACAAATATAGAGGAGTCTCCGTCTAGGAGCACCTTAAGTCTGAAATACCCCAGTGTTCCTGGGGCCATGGAGGAAACCAGTCTGTCTAGACCACGGAAAACTTTGAGAAGGACATTCAGAAGCCCTAAAATGAGCCAGCTCAGGACTCCCTGCCACCTCACAGCCACCTGAGAAGACAGAGATTTTCTGAGCATCAGATGGCACAAGTGGGGAGGGAGAGGCATGGTGGGGGGCTTGCCTGCTACCAAGGGACAGATTTCTGAGAGGCTCTCTGCCCACTTACCATTCACTCAGGACACAGTATACCCACCACAGCTTTGTGCCTGTGTTCAACAGGTTCCCACTCCATCCTAGCCCCCCAGGGGCAGGAACCAGGTGCTGGACTGATGGATTTTGGTCTGCGCCTCAGTCACCAGAGCCTGTTTTTGGCAGTGGAACCCAGCTTACTGTCCTAGGTAAGTGTCTCTCATGACCTTTTCCAGCCTGTCCCTCCCACTTGTTATCTGTTTTTCTCTCTTTTATTTTTGTTAGTCATGGGGCTTGAACTTGGGGTCTGGGAACTCTCCCTGAGCTGTTTTTGCTCAAGGCTAGCTACTGTTCTACCACCTTGAGCCATAGTACTACTTCTGGTTTTCTGGTAGTCAATTGCAGATAAGAGTCTCATGGACTTTCCTGCATGATCCTTGGATCTCAGGCTCCTGAGTAGCTAGGATTCGTGCCCAGCCAATTTTTCTCTTTTTTGGGGGGGGGGTGAGGGAGCTTATTCTCCTTTGTTAGCCTTTAGGACTGACCCTTTTCTTTCTTTTAGTCTGAAGGAGGTGGGTGGTATTCTGTTCTGTAATCTACAGGAAGGTCCTCATCAGCATGACGATCTACCTGCAGATTCCTGTGCCTATACCTGGCCTTGTCCCAGAGCCCAAGCTGAAGGTTGGTCAAGGATCAAAGCTTCTTCCCTTATGAGATAGAATGGGGACCAGGAGCTAGTCTGAAGAGTAGGACTGAGCCTTAGAGATAGTCCATAAGCCACAGAATCTGGATTTAGGGATCAGAAGTCCATCCAGGCTAGGAAGGCCACAAATGAGGCACAGAGGACACTGCTGAAGCTGTGACTTCCACCTCAGGAGATTAAAAAATTCATCCCAAATAGAGATCAACAGAGGCAGAGCAAAGGATCTGGCTCATTCTAGGCTACAATTTTCAGATAATCTCTTGGGCCCTGAGGACACAGGAATACAGGTAACTCAAACTGGGCAAAGTGATCAGAGTCTGGCCTTCTGAGGTTGGTCACTCTTTTGTCCCTGAATCATGGGGCTCTGTGGTACTTGTCTGTTCATGAGCTTCCCACTTCCTTCTAGGGCACATTAGATTTAGGAATGGAGGAATGAGGCTGCAAATGGAGGTGGTATTCAGAGGCTTCCACGTAAAATCAGAAATCAGCAACAGCCAGGCCCTGGTGGCTCATGTCTGCAATCCTAGCTACTTATGAGGCTGAGACCTGAGAACTGAGGTTCAAAGTTATCCTGGGCAGGAAAGTCTGTGAGACTCTTATCTCCAATTAACTACCAGCACTATGGCTCAAAGTGGTAGAGCATTCGTGTTGAACAGAAGAGCTCAGAGATAGTGCCCAGGCCTTGAGTTGAAGCCCCTCAGCCTCAAACAAATAAACAAACAAACAAACCAGCAATAATCAGGATCTACTGAGGTAAGCAGAGGGCTGCCTTTCCCTGCAGCCCCAAGAACATAGCCAAGGCAGAATCTTATTGATCAGGCCAATGGGACTAGGGGAACAGAAGAACATTGAAGGGGTCCTTCATTGTCTGGGGAGAACTCATGACCAGGAGAGCTAAGAAGATGGGTGGAATTTACTGTACCCTGGGCACAGATTCAAGGTATTCCCACATCCACCAGGATCTTCCTACCAGGCTGAGAAGAAAACCTTAATTAGCAGAGAAGACTCTGAACACTGGAAGAATAAACTTAAACTTACATTTATGCTTAGAAGGTTAGGGCCAGATTCTAAACTCAGACTTTAGAGATCAGGGAGGAAGAAGCATTAGTAGCCCTAGTGATATTGGGGAAACTGAGGCTGCAAGGGGTGAGACTAGACTAGGTTTCTGGGGTGAGCTTAGGGAAAGATTCTAGGATGGTCTAGAATTGTCTCGCATGGTGGGAAAAGAGGGTCTTTAGATGGACAAGGTGGCTATAATAAATGTTCACAATGAATTTAGATGGAGGCTGGTCTTCCACCTCCTGTCTCTCTTTCTCCCTTTTGCTTTTATTTGTTAGTCATGGGACTTGAGCTCAGGGCCTGGGTGATGTCCCAGAGCTCTTTTGCTCAAAGGCTAGCACTCTATTCCTTTGAGCCACAGCACCACTTCTGGTTTTTTGGTGGTTCATTGGAGATAAGAGCCACATAGGCTTTCTTACCCAGGCCAGCTTTGAACCATGATCCTCATATCTCAGTCTCCTGAGGAGCTAGGATTTCAGGTGTGAGCCACTGGCACCAGGATCCTGGCTCGCTTATGACAACTCTTGGCCTCTCCTCTTTCCATACAGGTCAGCCCAAGGCTTCCCCCTTGGTCACACTGTTCCCACCATCCCCTGAGGAGCTACAGGCCAACAAGGCTACCCTGGCCTGTCTGATGAATGACTTCTACCCAGGCACTGTGATGGTGGCTTGGAAGGAAGATGATATCATCATCACTGAGGGTGTAGAGACCACCCAACCCTCCAAACAAAGCAACAACAAGTACATGGCCAGTAGCTACCTGATGCTGACACCTGACAAGTGGAAATCTGGGAGCAGGTATACTTGCCATGTCACACATGAAGGGAGAACTATAGAGAAGAGTGTGTCCCATGTAGAATGTTCCTAAGTTGAAGAATCTCATGCCCTTGAAGGGCTGAAGCTGAAGGATTCAGCATGGTCCTCTTTGTCTTCTAGTCCTACTTGTACCCAATAAATCATTTTTAAAAAGAAAGATCCTACTCTACCTCATTGTTTTTGTTGTTGGTTGTGGGGCTTGAACTCAGGGCCTAGGCACTATCCCTGAACCCTTTTGATGAAGGCTAGTGCTCTACCACTTTGAGCCACAGTGCCACTTCTGGTTTTCTAGTGGTTAATTGGAGATAAGAATCTCAAACTCTCCTGTCTGGGCTGGCTTTGAATTGTGTTCCTCAGATCTCAACCTCCTTAGGAGCTGGGATTATAAGTGTGAGACACCAGCACCTGGCTCTCATTTGTTTATTAACTTCAAGTTTCATTTACAATTCCTAGTGGTTTCAGGGTGGGGTGGGATAATTCTGGTGGGTGTAAGCCTGGTGGAAAAGTAGCCCAGGAGAGAAGCTCACAGTCTGGGTGTAGGCTGGGAAATAGTCTAGTAACCTGGACATCAGCTTCCTTTCTCTCCTTCCTCTTCTTCCTCCTTCCAGCACAGGGTTTCTTACTTCCTGCCTCCTTTCTAAATGAGCTGTTGAGAACTGTGGCTTTCTGAGACACTTCTGCCCACTTTGGTCTGAGGGGACAAGGCATAGAGATAGCAAGAAATGGCCTACTCTCTTCAAGATTAGAACCATAAATCCATTATTACCATAAATCCAGCTCTTGGGTTCAATCTAAATACAGTTTCCAGGTACCAAAGTTCTGTGCTTCTCATGATTTGGATTTATTTGTCCACTCAGATGTCCATCTGTTCAGCCTCCTAAGAACCCACCACCATGTATCCACCAATCCACCCACTTATCGCCCCACCATCTACCTATCTATTGCTCGTCTACCATCTATTGCTCAGCTACCAATTTACCTATCATCCATCACCTATAATTCCCTAAGTCACCCATCTTTCCCCCATCAATTTACCTACCCAACTACCCAAACTACCTAACCACCTAACTACCACACTACCTAATCCATCCATCCATCATCTGCCATCAATCTTTTTTTATTTTGGGTCCGGTCGTGGGACCTGAACTCTGGGCCTGGGCGCTGTCCTTCAGTTCTTCAGCTCAAGGCAAGCGCTCTACCACTGAGCCACCTTCCCAGACCCTGCATCAATCTTTTTAATCATCTATATATCCATTAGAACCTTCCTCTTCTCCCTCTTTCTCTCCCTTTTTCCCTCCCTCCTTCATTCTCCTCTCTCTCCTCTCTACCTTTCTCTTTCCCTCCCTCCCTCAGTGGCTTATTGGGAGGATTGTACATAGCAGGTACTGGACAAGGGAAAAATGAGATGAAGAATTGGAAGACTTGGGAAGGGGATGTACTTTTTGGGTTTAATAGATTTCCATTGGACTACATGAATACTCAAAGGAGTGAATAAAATACTGCCATGTCAGGCACTCCAGGGTTCTAGGATCCAGGATGGGACTCAGTGTGTGGGAGGCAGCTTGGGGCAGAATCAGACCTGGGGCTGAGAGGGAGCCAGGGTATAAAGGGAGGGTTTTATGCCACCAACTGTAAGCTTCACAGACATCAGCTACAGTTCTGCAGTCACCTGTCTCAGTGATGTTTGTGGGTTCTACACTTTGATGTCTTTTTCTGTACTTTTTTGGGAAGGGGTGGGAGTGGGAAGGAAGGCAGTACCAGGCTTGAATACAGGTTCTTGTACTTGCCTGTTTTTCTTGTTCAGCTGGCACATGCCCCTGGCCCAACTTTTTGCTGATTGTTTTGGAGATGTAATCTCATGGATTTTTTTTCTGCCTGGGATGACTTTGAACCTCAGGTCTCCAGACCTCAGCCACTGACTAGCTATGATTATAGGTATGAGCCATTGCTGCTGGCTGCAGGCTTGGTTTCTTTTCTCCTAATGTTTCTTCTCCCTGTCATCCTCAGTTCTGGTTTAGGTCAGAGTTCAGATAAAAACTTTAACCTGGAGAGTTCTTGGGTTGGGTGGCTAGCTGTAGTCAGAGCCACCAGAATTGGGAGATGTGACTTGTTCCAGCCCCTCTCTCCTTCTCCTGGCTCGATCCACTACTCTCCTCCTACCTCAGTACTCCTTGCCTCTCTGGGTTTCACTGGCTAATCCTTTTATCCAGAAATTCTGTGTTTTCCAAGATGGCTGGCTCAATCTTGGAGGGTGGAGATTACTTGCTCTAAGTCACTCATCATGTTAGAGATATGCCTTGGAAAGTGCATAGGAGACATGACAGCAGTGACTAGTGTTGGTGAGAGCCAGCCCCCACTGGGCAAGCACACTGTGGGCATTGTCATAAGTAATCCTTAAACTCACCAAGGAGGGAAACTGAGGCACACAAAGATATGAAGTGAATTGTCCATGAAATAAAGATACTGGATCTAAGTAACATGCCTTGTCCTTACAGCCATCCTAGCGCCTTGCTGGGTGGTGGGGCCTTTTCACCCAGCTCTGAAAGGCCATTCCTTAAGTTGCAGATGTTTCGCCCCAGGAGAGCTTTGATATGGAGAATTTTTGTCTCTGAGTATTTCTTTAGATGGCTTGCTTTGCTCTCCTGAATATTTTCCTATATGGTCTGCTTTTATTGGATCTGGTCTCCTACCCCAAACATGTGGATTTTGCTTTAAAAACTTTGTGCAAGTGTTATTATGGGCTGCAGGTCTTTGAGACAGAAGTCCACCTGCAGTTGCTGGCTTTGTAATAAGGACTCCCAAATTGATATCTCAAGATGTGGCTTCTCTGTGTCTTGCGAATGAATTTCTGTATAACACCCAGAGTTAAGGGCAGATGAAGACTGAGCTGAGTGTGGTTCATACCCATCTGTCCACCACAGAATCTCTTCTGGGAAATCATGAGACTTACGTTTCTTTGGGTCTGGCTTACTTCACTTAGTATAATTTTTTCCAATTCCTTCCATTTCCTAACAAATGGTGCGGTCTCATTCTTTCTGATGGAGGCATAGAATTCCATTGTATATATATAGACACCACATTTTCTTGATCCATTCATCTACTGAGGGGCATCTGGGTTGGTTCCATATTTTAGCTATGGAAAATAATGCAGCGATAAACATAGTTGTGCTGGTAGCTTTAGTATGGCCTTGTTTGTGATTGTTTGGGTAAGTGTCCAAAAGTGGGATTGCTGGATCATAGGGGAGCTCTCTATGTGTAGTCTTTTGAGGAACCACCATACTGTTTTCCAAAGTGGTTGAACAAGTTTACACTCCCACCAACAATGCAGTAGGGTTCCCTTTTGGCCACATCCCCTCCAGCATCTGTTGTTACCAGATTTCTTGATTATAGCCGTTCTAACTGAGTTAAGGTTTTATCTCAATGTTGTTTTGATTTGCATTTCTTTTATGGCTAGAGAAGTTGAGCATTTCTTCATGTGTCTATTGGCCATTCTTACTTCCTCTTCAGAGAAGCTCTCTTTAAGATAGTAGCCCACTCATTAATGGGCGGTTGTTTCTTTGAAGATTTGTTTATGGAGGATTTAAACTTTTGAGTTCTAAGTATATTTTACATATGAGGCCCTTGTCTGTTGTATGGCTACTGAAGATCGTCTCCCAATCTGTGGGTTTTTTATTGATCTTGCTAGCTATGTCCTTTGTTATGCAGAAGCTCTGCAGTTTAATGCAATCTCATTTATTCAACCTTTCTTTGATTTGTTGTGTTTCTGGGTCTTTCTTAAGAAAATTACAGCCTGTGCCAAAGAGCCCTAGAATTTCTCCTATTCCTTCCTGCAATGTTTTCAGGCTGTCTGTTTTTACTTGGAAGTCTTTGATTCATTTGATCCATTTAAAATTGATTCTGGTACAGGGTGATATATGAAGATCTAGCTTTAGTTTTCAATAAGAGTTTAACCAATTTTGCCAGCACCATTTACTGAAAAGGCTGTCTTTCTTCCATCCTACTTTTTGGCCCCCTTACCAAAGATTAGGTGGCTATAGGTCTGTGGGTTCATTTCTGGGTCTTCAGTTCTATTCCATTGGCCCTCAGGTCTGTTCTTGTGCCAGTACCAAACTGTTTTGATTACTATGGCTTTGAAGTAGAGTTTGAAATTTGGTATTGATATTCCTCCAGCACTGTTCTTTCTGCTAAGGATCATTTTTGCTATTCAGGATCTTTTATTGTTCCATATGAATTTTTGGATTGTTTCTTCTATTTCATTGAAGAAGGAGGTTGGGATATTGATGGGTATCACATTGAATAGGACTCCTTACTTCACTCCTGATGTGGGGTCAGGTTTTGGAAAAATGAATAATGCATGTCAATCTAGACCTGCCCAAAGGTTATGCTCATGATGCTGTTGAAATATATATACTGGGTCTAACTGAGGTCATCTTAGCATCTTGTTGGATGACAGGGACTTTCTGAGAACTCCAGAGATGATGTAAGACATTCTTTGAGTTATTAAGCTACAAGGAAGTCTTACTCCAGAGAATTCTTGCCAATGGATGTCCTTGATTACTCCCCCTAGATAACTGGCCCTTGATTGCCCCTAGATGATTTGCTTTACTTATATATAAACTTTTATTAGGTTTAGTTCCTCACCTGGCTTGTGTTATATCCAGCACTTGTGTTGGGTATAATTCCTCACACCATTTGGGTTTGGCCTACGTCAGCTCTGTGCTAGTTGTATTCGAGGCTGCAAGTTCTTTGGGATGTGAGTCCACTTACAGACATCAGCATTTTAATAAAGACTCTCAATTTGACCTCATAAAGTGTGGCTTCTCTGTATCTCCCTGAGCAAATTCCCGTATAACAAGGTCAGCCAGAAAGAGTCAAGGAGACCACTGTTCTTATTTCTTCTTTTACATATAATCCAGCACTGTTTGCTGAACTATCATTATTTGAGTGAGATCTGCATGCATATTCTGGCTGTGTGCATGAAGGGAGAGACTCCCCAATGCTGCTTCTGCGTTTGTCCTGTTGGAAGTAGTAAGGTACCATTGTCCTTGAAGA